TCCAAGAGGGATCCACATAGGGTTGTTCCTCTTAGGCTCTAACCACATGGAGATCCACATAGGGCTGTTTCCAAGGGAAGTTCCTACCAATCATCCTCATCATAATACTATCACTCATAACCTCAATCACAATCCTCAACCATTACCTCATTCATTATTGCTACTTCTATAACCATTCCTCAATTACTCTTAAACAATCAAACATCAACCAATAATCATCAATCAATCATAACATGTATCAATGCATGAATCAATGCATGGGCATACAATCACAATCATAATTACATATCACATCTCATAAACCATTTCTCCTCCATGGAGTATGGTGGAACACTCAATGGGATCAACCCCAAGGTCCAAAGGTTTACCTTGCTCTTGAGCTTTCCTCAATGGCACACAACCCCAAGGGTTGGTCACTCCACTTGGTCCTCTTGCCTCAATCCTATCAACACAAGGAATACAATCAAACAATGCTAACAATGCAAGGAAATCCATATTTCCAAGCCTAGATTTATCCAAACATCAAAGCATACTAAAATAACACTATAAACTCATTTCTACCGATTAAATGTTATTCCTAGCATTTTTCACAACATACTCTAAGCCTCATTCTTCCTTGAACATAACCAATCTACTCAACATTTCATAAAAACCCTAAAACACTATTCATTAAACCCTAACCATGAAATTTTCCAAGAAAACAAGGTTCAACGGTTAGAATCTTACCACCAATGGTCACACAACCAAGGATTGATGGCTCCTCAAGCTTCAATGGAGGTTGAAGCTCCCAAAACCCCAAAATCTCACAAAGGGCTGAATTTTTGAGGGGCAATATCCCTCTCCACAATGCTCCCCACTCAAAACTAAGCTTGAATTATGAAAGAGGAGAAGATTTAGAGTGGTTTAGGCTTTTGAACGAATGGATTTGGTTGAGGATTGCTCCACCTAGGGTTCTCCCTCTCCTTTCCTCTTCCTTTTCCCCCTCTTCTCCTTCTTCTCTTCTTTTCCTCTCTTCTGCACGACGGGTTGGGGAGGGACAATTGGGTTTCTTTTGTTGCATTGGTCACTTAACTTATGTTAAGTGACTTTAAGCGGGTATTGGTTCGTCTATCTATTCAACTCCATTAATTACCAAACTTTACCCAAAAGTCTGGAATATTATTCTAGGAATATTACTATTTTTATTTTTATATTTTGGGTACTTTTGTCTACACCCATTTATACCCCTTAATTTTCACTGAGTACACTTTTTAACTCCAAGTGACTCAGATTCATTTAATTAAGCCTTATATTTAATTTTACTCACTAAAACATGCTTAATTATTTAATTAAAATTAATCAATTAAATGCTTAAGTTTGGGGTATTATATTCACCCCACCTTTTTAACGATTTTGTCCTCAAAATCGACAAAACCACTCATTCAATCATCTATGGATTTATCGGAGAACTCTTCTTGTGTTCCCGAAGTTACCCTATTAATCAGTTCCTCTTTTCCTCATCATCTTATCATAAGATGAAATGTTTCATTCATGATTCAATCTATGTTTTATAATTAGGTGATACTAATATGTTCCAGCACTTTTATCTTTCATTTTCCTCAAGGGTCATACCTATTCAATTGATATTTAACCCTGACCTTTTGTGGTCCTACTAATAACCTCATAAATAAAATCTCATCTGATGGAACTTCCAAGAGAGATCCGCTATGGGCTGTTTCTCTTAGGTATCTGACCACAAGGAGGTCCCGAAGGCTAACTCCAAGGGAAGTTCCCCTCAATCTATACCTTTAATGAGAATTCTCTATCTCATAGGATACTATCCTCATGGAGGTAATACTACCACTACATCCATGGAAAGATCATTGCATACAACTTACCATCTTTTAGCAATCAATACATAGTCTAGTCTTTAATTACTAGACATAACGAATCACATAATCATAGTTGAGTCCATAGTCTAAGCATGTGTGGCTCCAACCTCAATAAACTATGCATGTCATATTAATCTACATGCGTCATACCTCCCGTCAAGTGTGGGAACCTCTCTAGCTGGGGTTGGGTCGAAGTGCTAACATGTGCCGCTGCTGAAGGGTCATAGACCACTTGCACATGAGCAACCCATCCCACAATCTGGGGACAATCCCTCGCATAGTGACCAGGTCTAGCACACTTGAAACATACGTTTTGACCCATCAAACAAACACCCTTGTGATGCCTGCCACAATTGTCACACTTTGGCACAATAGGTCTTTCACTGTCCCAACTCTGTTGACTCCCGCTTCTTTTAAACTTTTCTTCAGACTGTCTAACTTGCAATTTTTCTTTGATATTCCTATCATCCATCTTCTTACCCTTTTCTGAAGTAGAGCCAGTTGCTCCACTAGCACCTGATGCTTGTGCCTCGGAAGACTTCTTACTTTTCGGCACACCATAAACTTCTTCCACCTTCCGGCATTGGTTCACGAATTTGCTAAACTCACGGATATCACAATTTGACATCTTCCGAGACATCTTCTCATTCAGACCCCATTGAAATTTAGAGGTCATCTTGGCCGGAGTGGGTAAGGCTCTCCCATAATTAGCATATTTCACCAATTCATTGAACTTGGCGAAATATTGGTCAATTGTCATCGACCCTTGCTTTAGATCATTATACTCATTGTTTCTGTTCCTTAGCCTCCCTAGGGAAGTAGTTATCCAAGAACAATGTCTCGAACAACCGCCAGGTGATTTCCCGGCCTTCAGCTTCTAGGGGCTGTACGGTATTAGTCCACCAATCCTCCGCTTCTTCTTCCAGCATGTACACGGAGTAGATTAGCTTCATTGCATCAGGGCATCTCATCACCCTGAAGATTTTCTCCATCGCTTGGAGCCATTTTGCAGCCGCCATTGGCTCATAACCTCCCTTAAAAAAAGAAGGTTTGTGTTTTCGGAAAGCCATCAATCTTCTTTCCTCCACTTCATGGTCACCGACATTCTCAACTCGAGGTTGACGAACCTCAGTGTGATGACTACGACTTCCAGAATGGTGACTACCCTCACCTTCATTGTTACCCACTACACCCTCTTCTTGTGAAGGAGGTGGAGAAAGCGTAGCAGTGTGAGGAGGAGGAGTGGGTTGCCGGTTCACGGGCCTAGGACCGCTCAACGTCCTCAACTCGGTCATCATCGCGGCCATAGCAGTCCGCGAGTCTTCATTTGTTTTCATCAGATTTTCATTGGCTTGCCTGCTAGCAGCCAGCTCCCTCTGAACGGCTGCAAGAGCTTCAGCCACGGGATCAGGTTGTACGCCCGTTGCCCCACGGCCACTTCTAGGCCTCACAAGAGCAGCCAAAACAGGTTCTGGCTGAGCATTGGTGTTTGATGGTCCGGGGTTGTTTCGGTGCCTCGTCATGTCACTATACATGTTACACAAAGAAGTGAGTTGATCAGGCCCACACTTAGTGATCACAAATGCAATAATCATCAAGAGTACTAAAACAACTAAAAAGCATCAAACACTAAGCATACTCAACAATAGCTAATAGTTACTCCCGACGAAACTGCTCTGATACCATAAAATGTAACGCCCCGTTCTAGAACCGGTTTGTTAACATCGCATTATGATATTAAGCGCAGTTACAATCACATGGGTTCAATTAAAATCCGGTTAAATTTTTCATTTTAAAACATGCCGAATTTATAATGCCCAATTGCGTGATCATAACCATATTACTTTGCGGAATCAGATAAACCAAGCTTAACATCATGTTCTTATTCCATTTTTAAACCATTAATTTACTTCTTATTTATTTCCCAACTTCTACTATATTGTAGATCTCTTCGTTAGCTACGCGTGGTTTCAAACCGCTCCTCATTTGGAGCTCTGTAGCTCAAGTTATGACAATTTTACTATCTCAGGTATATGCTGAAAAACTACGCGAGCAGGGCGCTTAAGCGCTCTCCAGGGCGCTTAAGCGCCCACAGACAGAGGGAATTCACTTTTTTTGGCCACCAAGGGCACTTAAGCTCGCTCCAGGGCGCTTAAGCGCGCTACCTGGGCGCTTAAGCCCCCATTTTGGGCGCTAAAGATCCAGCGGCAAAAAGCTTTTGGTTTTCACAGGTGCATCAGGGCGCTTAAGCCCCCTCATGGGCGCTTAAGCCCCCTGAGCAGGCTTAAGCCTCCATTTGCAGGCTTAAGCCCCCTCTTCTGGGCAATTTCCTATACTCATATTTTTCATGTATCTTTCTTGGGGAATCAATCCTACACATTTTACAACCTATCGAACAAGCTTGCGATATCCCTATATCATTGCTTAACTCTCATCCTCTCATCATTGATTTAACGGAAATTGGGCAGCATAACCTTTGTTTTCTCAATGTTTCCCAATCTAACAACTTAGCTCCTAATAGACAATTCAGCTCAACATTTCCAATATTCATCATGCATTCATAACCTTGAAGTAAATAACATTACACAAGTTTAATTACATAACGAGGAACTTAGCTACAAAAGGCTATGACCATCCCTTGGCTCTCATCAACAAAAGAGATATCCAATGGCATGATCATAGGCTAAGTCCATCAAATATAACGAGATATACATACGTCAATGCTATCAATGATCAACCCTATACATGTAAATCTACAAAATAACATGTATGATCTCAAAACATCATTTTCTTCATGCATGATCTACTGCAAAGAAGGCCACTTTCCATCAGAGGCTCCTGCAGCTTCCTTACCTGAAAGGGGGTCCCCATAACACGGGGTGAGATATACGAATATATCACAGTAAACCAGAGGTCCTTGGAGATCACTCCACCCTAAGGTTCACTTTCGATGTACACATAATCTTAATAGATTAACACATTCTTATCAACAAGCATCACATGGACTTCCAAGAGAGATCCCACTAAGGGATGTTTCTCTTAGGCTCTTACCACATGGAGATCCACATAGGGCTGTTTCCAAGGGAAGTCCTTTCCTCAATCTAGGAACCTCCAAGAGGGATCCACATAGGGTTGTTCCTCTTAGGCTCTAACCACATGGAGATCCACATAGGGCTGTTTCCAAGGGAAGTTCCTACCAATCATCCTCATCATAATACTATCACTCATAACCTCAATCACAATCCTCAACCATTACCTCATTCATTATTGCTACTTCTATAACCATTCCTCAATTACTCTTAAACAATCAAACATCAACCAATAATCATCAATCAATCATAACATGTATCAATGCATGAATCAATGCATGAGCATACAATCACAATCATAATTACATATCACATCTCATAAACCATTTCTCCTCCATGGAGTATGGTGGAACACTCAATGTGATCAACCCCAAGGTCCAAAGGTTTACCTTGCTCTTGAGCTTTCCTCAATGGCACACAACCCCAAGGGTTGGTCACTCCACTTGGTCCTCTTGCCTCAATCCTATCAACACAAGGAATACAATCAAACAATGCTAACAATGCAAGGAAATCCATAGTTCCAAGCCTAGATTTATCCAAACATCAAAGCATACTAAAATAACACTATAAACTCATTTCTACCGATTAAATGTTATTCCTAGCATTTTTCACAACATACTCTAAGCCTCATTCTTCCTTGAACATAACCAATCTACTCAACATTTCATAAAAACCCTAAAACACTATTCATTAAACCCTAACCATGAAATTTTCCAAGAAAACAAGGTTCAACGGTTAGAATCTTACCACCAATGGTCACACAACCAAGGATTGATGGCTCCTCAAGCTTCAATGGAGGTTGAAGCTCCCAAAACCCCAAAATCTCACAAAGGGCCGAATTTTTGAGGGGCAATATCCCTCTCCATAATGCTCCCCACTCAAAACTAAGCTTGGATTATGAAAGAAGAGAAGATTTAGAGTGGTTTAGGCTTTTGAACGGATGGATTTGGTTGAGGATTGCTCCACCTAGGGTTCTCCCTCTCCTTTCCTCTTCCTTTTCCCTTCTTCTCATTCTTCTCTTCTTTTCCTCTCTTCTGCACGACAGGTTGGGGAGGGACAATTGGGTTTCTTTTGTTGCATTGGTCACTTAACTTATGTTAAGTGACTTTAAGCGGGTATTGGTTCGTCTATCTATTCAACTCCATTAATTACCAAACTTTACCCAAAAGTCTGGAATATTATTCTAGGAATATTACTATTTTTATTTTTATATTTTGGGTACTTTTGTCTACATCCATTTATACCCCTTAATTTTCACTAAGTACACTTTTTAACTCCAAGTGACTCAGATTCATTTAATTAAGCCTTATATTTAATTTTACTCACTAAAATATGCTTAATTATTTAATTAAAATTAATCAATTAAATACTTAAGTTTGGGGTATTATAAAGATCTAAGAGTACAGTTCGCTAACAATTGGTTCATTTCCAATCCTATCACTGTGGTACGAACGCAAACTGCGCAACTACATCCATATCTTGTGTAGCAACAAGCCAATAAGCATTGCAGCTTCATAATGACTACAAGGACCGATAAAGGGAGAAATGAAAAACAATACACGCTAAAACTCATCCACGTACGCAACATAAATGAGAGTTCATGTATCTGATAAACATCTAGAAACACAACTAATAACAATTTAATTAATGCGATCCAGAGCAAACACCAAGACATAAGTTCAAAGATTGATAAAATTAGTTACAACTCTAATTGAAAGCAGAAGGACCCATTGTAAGGTTTATTGATGAATAGGAGTTCATTTTGGAGTATTCGTATTTTGTACAATATTATTCACGGAGAGCATACAATACTACTACTGGTTTATTGTTCATAGCACTACTCTATTTATTCTTGCATCCACTACAATTACATGGTTGGATTTTCACTTGATCTTATCAAGAATTGAATTAAGCATGTCAAAGGTCAAGGGTTTCACTTTGTAGTGTCATCTAGCCCCGCTTCCATGAATTCCAATGATTAACAAAGAATTCATTTACAAAATGATAGCAGTGTGTAATATAAGTATATTACAGACACTACTTGGAAAAAAATTAGTTTGGTATTGTAAAGAATCATTTCAATCCAAAATTTTAAGATGTTGAGTGAGGACCTTTATAATAGTTTATATTAGTGAAAAACAAAATGGAAAAAGACAAATAACCAGTCATTTTCTGATTTCGTGAGAAAAAGATGGAAAAAAAAAATGAATTACGATTATTGGCACAAATTGTGTCGCAACTTTTATATGTTTCTTGGGTACTACTCTATCTGTATGTCTAATAAACTTGGTTTAGAAAAACAAGAACATGAATCGAAACATTTGTTTTTTGTTCAATGCTGCAAACTTCTTTATTAAATACAGAAACAAGAACATCTGAATACACAACTCATAGCTACTATTAGTCTTCTTCCATAAGGGAAACAAATAAGTATAATCACCGATTCAGGGTAACATAGTCAAGTAGCTATGTACAATCTATCCATAACATTTTAGTATTTTACAAATAGAAAATATTAATCAAACAGTTGTTCCAAATGCATGTTTCTGTGCAGGTTGGACATCTTCATGATACTCATATGCCAATCCACCATGGCTGGTTAAGTCCAATCCAGCCATCTCCTCATCAGGTGAAGTCCTCAGTAAATTGAGTTTGTGCAGCACAAAGAACACCAATCCCATGGTGAGACTCACCCAACCTACGATGGCCAAAATCTGCATAACATGTGCTGCCAAGAGCTTTGCACCCCCTCCCATGAGCAATCCATAAGGCCTATCAGGAAGCCCTGGGTAGACCTCATTTACATATTGTTTCTTAGCAAATAGAGCAGTGAAGATAATCCCCCATATGCCACAACCACCATGAAGTTGTGCAGCCTCCAATGGGTCATCATACTTGAATTTCTCTGCTAGCAAGTTGCATCCAATGAGAACCCAAGCAGCTACAAACCCACATATGATTGCTGCCCAAGGGTCCACAAAAGCACACCCTGCAGTGATTGCAGCAAACCCACCAAGCAAACCATTGCAAACATCTGTGACAATCCAATGCCCAGTTTGGATACGTTTGCCAAAGAGTGTGGTCAATGCTGCTGAGCATCCAGCAAGACTTGTGGTCACTGCAGTCCTCCCAATAGCACTCCATTGTCCATAATAAGAACCACTATCTCCATAGGTCTTCAAGATGTTAAGAAATGAGCCAGGGTTGAATCCATACCATCCAAACCACAACAAGAATGTTCCCAAAACAACCAAGGTACCACTGTGTCCTCTCATTGGCACAGGTTTTCCTCCATGATCAAATCTTCCAATACGAGGGCCTTCAATGAATGCACCCCAGAATCCAGCAACAGCTCCAACCAAGTGAACAACACCTGAACCAGCAAAATCAATGACCCCAGATCCAAACAACAGATTCTCTGCCCGAGCAGGACTACCCCAACCATCAGCAGACCAGAACCAATGAGCCACAACGGGATAAACAAAACCAGTCAAGAATGATGAGTAAATCAAATAGGAAACAAATTGTGTCCTCTCTGCAATGGAACCACTTGTAATCCCAGCAGCAGCAATGGCAAAAGCCCATTGATAGAGGAAAAATCCATAGTCAAAAGACTGTGAAGGGAAATCATTTAGACCAAAGAAGTGTTTCCCAATGAAACCATTGGAAGGGGTACCAAAAGCCAATGCAAAACCAAAGATGTAAAAGAAAATTCCACCGGTTGCAGCATCAAGGACATTGGTAAGCATGATGTTCATGGTGTTCTTGGCACGGACAGAACCAGCACATAACATAGCAAAGCCAAGCTGCATGGCAAAGACAAGGTACGCAGAGAAGAGAAGGTAAGTGTTATCAACTGCATAGGTTGTGTCAACAAACTTGTCTGAAATGGCATCAAAACGTCCACATATGAATTCAGCAAAGGCTGTGGCATTAGCATCGGTGCCAAGAAGAGGGTGGAGGTCTGCGGCGGAGCAAGTGAAAGCAGCCATGGTTGGTGGTGGTTGCAGGAACTCACCTCCAACCCCTCCAAGGAACTAAAGATCCCAGAAAGGGTGGAGAGAATGAGAGAGAGAACAATGAGAATATAAAAAAAACGAGAGAAATTGATTGTGACAAATGTTGAGGGAATGGTGCTTCGTTTATAAAGGATCGAGTTCTACGTTATTTGCGTTTGTTGTTGCAATTCTCCGCCGTCGATTTCGCTATTGCATTGCTGGATACCCTGCTTATTGCAAATTTAGAATTTTTGAATATTCAACATTCTAACTCACATTGGTATTCTTCCATTCCATTTAGGGTGTGCATGACAACCATTCTATTCCCTAGCACTGTTTCTAAAAAGAAACAATTTTTTTTTATTTCTGTGTCATGGAACAATTTCTGAGAAAAAAAATGTGTTTGATAACATGTTCTATTTTTATTCCGAGAATGAGAATTGTGTTTGATAACACAATAATAATATAATAAAAAATAATTCCTATTAAATATAAAAAAAATTTAGATCATCACTTTCCTTTCCACATGGTGTGGTTGTGGTGGTGGCGGCAGCAGCGGCGGTACGGTAGTGGTGGTAACAGTGATGCGGTGAAGATAGTGGTGGTGGTAACAGTGACGTGGTGAAGATAGTGCTGGTGGTTGTGACGGCAGCAGATGCGACGATGGCGATGGTAATGGTGGCGGCGACGGTGGTAATGGTGGTGATGCTGATGGTGGTGGTGAAGGTGACGACAGTGGTTGCGATTATGGTGGTGGGTATGGTGGTTGGTGGTGGCAACAATGGTAGCAGTGGCATAGTGGTGGTGGTTGTGAAGGCATCATGGTGGTGGTGGTGGTTGTGAAGGCAGTGGCGGTGGTGGTAGGTGATAGTGGTGGTGGCGGTGGTGGTAGTGGTGGCAATGACGTGGTGATGGGTAGTGGCGGGGGTGGTGTAATGGTGGCGATGGTGGTGGTGGTGACGGTAATGACTGTGAAGATGGTGGCGACGACGATAGCGACAACGGTGGTGGTGACGGTAGTGGCTGCGGCAATAGTAGTGGTGGTTGGTGACGTGGTGGTGATGGTAGTGGTGGCGTCGTGGTGGTGGTAATTAGGGGTGTAAATGGGATGGGCTGGGCTGGGCTTTGGCCATCCTGGCCCAAGCCTACGTCAAAAAAATCTTAGCCTATCTGGCCTACTGGCCTATTAAAGGCTTTATTTGTAGGCCAAGCCCGGCCCATTTTCAAAAATAAGAAAGTCTGACATGGCCTACAGGCCTTGTAGGCCTCCCACTATATATACTAAGCAAAAAAAATAATTGTATAGAGCAAACAAAGTTCCATTCATGCATGCACTAGTACTTCTCATAAGAAAAAAATGACAAACAAGAAAGAGTCAACATAATACCTCAGCTCTAGAATGTATATCATAGAGGAATAGAGTCAAAGAAATGGGAAAATAAGAAAAATACAATTACTGGATGCTGAAATAAAGTCTACAAGAGAATGTCATTTGTCTAAAAAATGTGACAATACTGCGTTAACAAGTACAGAAACTAATCTATCATATACAAAATGTGGGAATATTCTATTATATATACTGTACTACTTTAACATACTATTCTAAGGAATCAAAATATATCTCCTCATTATTATTATTGAATCTTCCTTTATTTAAAAAATTTTAAGAATGGGAAGCGGGAAAAGAGCTCCAATAGTCATTGGACTAATTTATTCAAATCTGCCCCAAAAGATCTTTCCAAAATTCAAGCCCTTTTGACTGTTCGTTTGTCATAAAACGCAGTATTGTCAATTGAGTTAACCTTCAATTTAAGTGCTCACCTTAAAAATCCTTGAAATCATCTTCGATGTTTCAGCATTGGGAATATGTGGCTCCTCTTAATGCCATAATGGGGACATTCAATGCTACATCGTAACTTTCATTTTAAGAAGTTGTGGAATTTATTAAATTAGGTTGTAACTTTCTTTTTAAGCACTATCTCTCATTAATGATTTTAAGCAGTTGATAGTTAAAAAAATTGGCCATTCCTTTTAAGTTTTACAATTTACTCCTGTTAGTATTAATGACAATGCCAATCACAAAGATTTTCAAGAAAGTAAATAAATAATAAAGTTTACCATGAAACCAGGTCTATTATTAACGCTATTCATGTTTTAAGATATTGCAATTTTTATTTTTTGGCCGATTATGACCATTGAAACCTGGAATTTATGCTGATTAGTTGAAAATTGGAAATTGAATGCAGAAGGACACACTGATGAATAAGAGGTCATTTTGGAGTTTTCTCTTTATTTTTTGTACAACATTTTTCACAGATTTATTGTCCATAGTACTACTTGTTAGGCTGCTAGCATAATAAAATTGAATATTTATTTTTGCATCCATTACACGGTTTGATTTTCACTTGATCTTATCAAGAATTGAACTAAGCATGTCAATGATCAAGGGTTTCACTTTGTAATCAGTCATCTAGCCCGGCTTCCATGAATTCTCGTGTCTCTGCTTCCATATATAATACATGATGACACACCCAATATTGAGCCAAGTTTCTTTGTTGCCAATATAAAAACATGCAACAAGTGAATCTCGTTATAACACATGCACATGCATTTTAACCAAATAGATATCAGTATCCCATTAGTCTTTTGGAAGAAACAGTATAAGTCAACCAAACAAGAAAGAATCTAGCGAATTGCAACAATGTGATGAATTTAGCGTTTTTTCTTCAATTTGCCACTGAGAGAAACAATGGCCAAAGCACCGTGGCTAAATTCCAGGTTTCTTAAAGTCTTGATACGAGACTGGATGTGCTTGATATTGAAAAATAGACTCTTTACCAGCTGGATTAAAGTTTGAACAAATCAGAAGAAATATAGTCATGAAACGACTTCTTAGCAAAGTAAATTTGGAGTGAGAAGAAATGCCGTGATGAGTGATGAACTATGATTATTAACGCCAATTTTGTGTCATAACTCTTATCTCTATGTATGATAAACTTATTTAACAAAAATAAAAAATAAATTATATCACGTTTGACGAGAAAGAAAAAATTGGTGATTGGTGTTGAAGGGTGGGATGGAAGTGAACAAGGAGGGAAAAGATAACATTGGAGATGAAAAACACATAATAACCCAGATATAAATTAAAAAAAGAAAATCCTTATATCTATGCTATAAAAATTAATTAAAATATATCAATATTAATAATAACTAAACAAGAAGATTAGAATATGAGAATAATTAACCACTGATAGCCAGTTCCTAGCACTTCCATTTATATAGCAGCAGAGCTCTTGGCTATTTACCTTGAAGACTCTCATCATCACTGAGAACATTACTAAGCTAGACATGTGCAAGACCATTCCACGAGTTTTCAAAATCAAATTAGAACATGCCCGTATCAATTGAGCTAAGATCAGGAGATGGTATATTTAGTTCAGTTGAAAAAACACCATCCACTCCAACTGAGACAAAGTCTTCTTCATCAAAAAGCCAGTTCTTGATATCATCCACTGAGCCGAGGTTAGTGCTTCCAGTTAACTGTGTACCAGCCTCCATGACACTAGGTGGTGTGTTTTTAGATTCTGAACTTTGTAGATAAGAAGTGCCTTGACCGGTATTCTCAACCCAACTTGAGTCAAAAGTTGAAAAATCTACCTTTCTTGCAGATTCACTTTGACTCTCATCGTGAGGTTTCTGTTGGCAAGAAGAATCTTGCCCTGTAGTTCCACCAGCATTTTCATTTTGACTTCCAATTTGATGTTCATTTAAATGTTGACTTCCATTCAGGCGAGCCACATAACTTGAAGGGGCATCATTACCCTGAACGCAAGATCCATAAAGGTTTTGGCTATCATTTGATTGGTAATATGCTTGGGCTTCAGAAGCTGTAGTATATTTGCTGAAACTGCTCAGGCTGGTTGTTTCAGAACTTGGTAGTGGGTATAATAAATTTTTGGGGAACCAAACATCATTCTGTTCATAACAAGTCCCGTTATTTGAAAATCCTTTTGCAGCATTATATCTGTCATATTGCTGTGCTGGATTGACATGATTGCTGAAACCAGATGCACCATGAGTAGAATGGTTCATTGTCTGTGTGCTCCCAACACCAACATTGCCTACCCCCTTGGACATCATATGAGAATAAAGGAAATGAGGTCCTAAACTGCTAGCTCCCCGTCCTTGCACCCTTTGGATGGCATGATTACGTACACTTAGCAACTGCCTTGGCGCGGAATGAGACCGGTGTCTGTTTCTCACCAAAGTATATCCTGACTCTTGATATCTACCATGGTTTGCACCATGCCGGATCATAAAGTTGGAGGCCCTGGAGCATACAGGGACAGTATTTGACCTGCAGACCTGATTCTGTAAGCCATAATTTAGTAAAGAGCTCGTCCGCGTCATAATTGGCTGAGATGCCTGATCTTGATGTATGAGATTTACTGGTGAGCATGTATGTGTTGCAGATGACCTTGATGTCTGATTCAGTAACATGGAATTTGGAGATAATTGCATGATATCATGCGGCAGAAAATGGTTATGTAGGGGATTCCCAAAATCATGCAAAGTACCATAATTGGTTGGAGCTGGTAATGAAACAGTCTTGCCCAACTTGAGATTTTTCCTCAGAATTTTCCACATTTCAGATTTATCAGTTGCATGACAATGATCTGTACTTGAAAGGCCAATGCCCCATTTCAGACATGGGGCAAGGGAGTCACAGACATAACAGTGACACTGCACATCATCAAAAACAGAAATCAGAGTGAGAAGGATAATATCAATCAGCAAATAAGCCAAGAAACAATTATAATTAAACCAACTAATTAATAAATGCTAAACTCTGACATAGCCTAAAGTAATGAATTATGACCTTTACCTGGTCACAGTGTCTCTCATGGGGGGTGGAAGAAAAAGGAAAATTGACACAAAGATGCCGGGGATGAGCATAGTCTCTGCATGCAATCTGCAAGTCAAAAAACAAAAATGAACCTCCGCATCTCAAATGCTACTGATACATTTTAAATCATAAGCACAAAAAGTTTGAAATTTGCAGTTTTGAGTAAACAAGCTCATGCATGAAAACCAGAGATAATTTAAGGCAGAAAACCAAAAAATAAAATGAGCAAGTAGCAAATAGTAATGCTGCACTAAATGCAAGTGCCTCATCTAATGCCTTCAAACTCAGTTTGAACCAGTATTGCATTTTCATTAGAAGTTAAATACGATAGAGCATTAGATAGAGGATCCTCCCAGGCTAGGTTTTCTTCCAAATACTCTGGATTGAGTTAGCAACATTTCCCCATATCTTCTAGGATCTCAATCAGGATCCGCGATTCTAATTTCAATCTTGGAATATGAATCCATTCAAAAGTTTTTTCTCAGATGCCACAGCCAAGGTAGGTAGCCCAGGATCCAAGTCTTCTGCCATCTTAAAGCTTCCTCATACCTGCAGCCATCTTAACTACCCCCATATGACAAACTTGGCAATGGTATACCTCAAATACTGGGAAGCCAACTCATGCAATTATTTTCAGATACTAAAAGAGAATCATCCGTTCAAAAAATACAACTTTTAATCTCCCATCCTACTGAAGCATGCTTGAATCCAGAAACAAACAGACTCCCTTGTCAATCCACGAAACCCAGACAATCCATGCTCAAGGAATCAAACACTTAAGGAAAAAGGAAAATATCTTGTGGTCACCAATACATCTAAATCAAAATTTTAGTAAAGTATATGAAAATAATTACGTGCATGAGAGTTGAGACCATAAATCAAGGAATGCACTAAAAAAAATAAAAAAACTATAAATGTTTTGATGCTTCTAGGACACAAATTGTTGCAATGACATGGATGACATAAATTCCATCATTCTTTTCTTTTCTTTTCCACTAACAATTAAAAAGAAAGAAAAAGAAAGAGAATCAGAAGAACAAGCACTAGCACAATAAATTGGAGAAAATACCTGACCCTTCTCTCCAACAACAAACAACTCGTCAGACCCAGTTGTCCCCTCTTCCACTGTGGTGACAACGTTGTCGGGGTCACCATCCAGAACAACACAATCATCTTCATCATCATCTTTCACAGCCGGCGTTAATATCGAAGACTTTGACTTGAGTTCAGGTTTGTTCACCTCGCGAACCACAACATCCTGGTCTGGTTCTTCATCGGACATCCCCAGCAACTCCTTTATCCAATCATAGTTAATGCTCCTCTCTCCCTTCTCTTCCAAACATGCTTTTTCTTCATCTTCTTCGCCCGAGCTACATGGCATGGGTTTCATACTAATGCCAAAAACCGTTTAAATCCCCAGAAACCTTCAAAAGATCAAATTTTTTAAGCAATCTCGTAGTGGGGTGGGATTATCCAAACTCTACCCGCACAAAACTTGCTATAAGTTGGAAAAATGAAAATCATTTCGAAAGCACAAAAAGTAAGCGGGAAAAAAAAAATCAAAAAAGGAAAAAAATAAATAAATTACCCCTTCGACGCTAACGTTAGTCAGAGATTCAGAAATTTAAAATAAAAATAAAAATAAAAATTTGCAGAGCCTTTGAAGGTTGAGAAGGGGAACACAGAGAGTGGGATAGTGGAGAAGTTTTAAAGACTCGAGTGTAGGGGAAGAAAAGCATACGTCAGATAATTAAAAAATGGGAAATAAATTTAATTTAACTATCCCTTTGATTTATGACCGAAGAAGAAAAGCAAATAGAAAAAAAAAAATGTGGGGAATTTGAGGAGGTAGCTTCGGTTCTTTGTTTTTTGGGATAAGAAAAAGTTAAAAAACGCTTGCGCACGTCACCGACTCGTCCGTGTTAGTTGGCTCATGCCTATTTCGCATTTATATAATGTTTTTTTCTCTCTCATTCTCCTTTAAGAATGAATTCTTTTATATATGATTTAATATCATCATTTTCTATGAGGTAATCTTAATCATTTATTGTGAAGTCAAAGGTTTTTTTCTATTTCTATTATAATAGTTTTTCTATCTCTTTTTTAGTTTATGGGAAAAGTGTGTATTAAGTGAGAGAAAAAAATAGATAAAGAACAGGAAAGAATGGACAGAAAAATATAAAAGTGTGGGCTTTTTTTTTTAGAGTAAAAAGATATAAATTATATTATTTAAAAAGATAAACACTTTTTGCTTAGTTTATTTGTAAATGGTTATGATTATCTCATAAATTACGCACGTGGAAGGTCTATTACCGCCATTTCTATGTCTGCGTGGATTATCCGCCGTTACGATGCAAACAATATATGAGATGCAAACAATACATGAGACTATTGAACGTAGGATATTAAAATAAACATATAAGGGACAGTTTTGTTTTAGATTGGTGTTTATATTTTTGTAAGTCAATGTGTGATGTTAGTTGTCCTATTCAAGCTTGTTTTTAATTTAAATTTAATTTATAACCTATTGTTTTCATCTCTAATTCAACTGATGATAGCTTAGTAAGAAGCTGATCAATATATAATAAGGTTATGTTATTGTTTATTCTTTATGTTGAACAAATAGTATAGAATAATTATCATGTTGATTTGATGATACAAGATATGTTTTGATGATAACAAAGTAACAAAAAAACAAGATCATTTGATCAAGAGCAAAAAATATCAACCATATGTGGATATTGAAGATGTATGATATAGCCACACAAGAAAAGTGATGTCATATCAAAGTGGCAAGATCATTGGATCAAGAGAAATAAGGAATAATTAGAAGAGCAATAACAAGATCAAAGACAACTAACCATGGACAACATCTAAGAGAAGATCAATATCATAACCATGGTGAAAAATGATCAAAACCAACAAAGTGTCAAGCATTGTCATATTCAACAAGTCAAAGCATCAAGTTCAAGAAAAGATCCAAGACACAAGACACGAAGCTAAGTCTAAAATCATATTTTGAATATATCGAACTTAGAATATATGTGAGGGTATATGATAGATTACATTGCATGAGCTCAAAGTTTTTATCAAAGTAAATGTGTTTTTCAAATTGCATAATCATAACCTTTGTATACTTGAAAGAAATTTGTAAAATTCATGGAAAAGATCCTTGACATATTTTGTAACTTCAAAACATATTTATCAAGTCAAGATCTTTCACAAAAAGTAATTGGAAGCAAGCTAGAACACATTTGAACTTAAAATTTGTTGCTTAATTTCGCTTCTACCTTCCATACAATTTTTTGTATCTGTTAGGTCCTGGATAGACCGTATTGCTATACCGTGAGGTATGCGCTCAGAGATAATATATATCAGGTGTATACTAGGCTTATTGCCGAGGTTCCAATCACTGCGCACAAGCAATAGGCTTATAGCCAAGGGGTGGGTGTGTGCACAGTGTGGGCAGTATTCGTAAATAGATTAGAAGTGTTTACCTGGGGTCCTTAGGCTCTTATTTATAAGGATTACCTTCTTAGGCTTGGGCCTTTTGAGCTCCCCCAATTGTAATAGGATTCAACTCCCTTTCTGTTGGGATGTGATCCTTATCTTGTGCCATTTGACTGTTTAGAGTTGTTGAGATGCTTATGACTCTCTCTTAGTAGATTCCTAGGTGGGTAGTTGGGATATGATATTCATATCCATAACAGTATCTAATATGATGGATTTGGATTTTGTGTTCTTCACAAAAGTTATAGATTTCTCTTTTATCTTTCCAAAGAGACCAAGATCACATCAATCCGACAAGTATAACTCAAATTATAGCCAAAATACGAAACAGTGTTATTGTGTGAAGTTGGGAATCGATTAATACTGCAACAGATCCCAACGGCTATAAACAGCTATAAAATGGTTAATTTTTCAAATAAGATCCCAACGGCTATAAACGGCTAGTTTTCCAATGGCTATAAACGGCTAGTTTTCTAACGGCTATAAACGACTAATTTTCAAATGAGATCCCAACGGCTATAAACAGCTAGTTTTCAATGAAAATACTGTGTATGCATTCCCAATGACTCAAAAACATTGGGCATCATTTCTACACATATTAAGCATGCTTTGAGAGCTTCTACACTATCATTTTACATATTCTTTCATTTCTTTCAAAGATCAAACATATTTGAGCTCATATCTTGAAAATTCATATACTCATAGTGCTTCAAGTTGTATATCCACACTTCGAGAGTGTATATTCATTTCTAAATATTTCTCTCCTTATATTCTTGAGTTGAAAGGGTTGTGAGACCCATTGTTTGAGAGGTGGCCAAATACCTAAGTAAATTTGGAGTGAACTGTAAGGTTACCAAGTACCCGTAAACTTGGAGATTGTAAGGTATCCAAGAACCCGAAGTCTTGAAAGATTGTAAAGGTTTGTCAAGCACCCGTGAATCTTGATCATTAGTGAAAGACTTGATCGAGCGGCTTCAGTCTGGACTAGAATATATTGTGTTTGCAATTCTCTAAACTCTAAACTCTTTATTTTTAGCACTTTAATTGCTTCTCTGATATCTTGTATGTGCTAGTATAAGTTCTATAATTGTGATATATTATAGATTGTCTGAATATATTGATTAGTTTTCTACATATCAATGTTTGCTTGAAATGATTATTTAGAAACTAGAAGAGGGCTTTTACGAAAATCTTGTAATACTCAATTGACCCCCCTCTTGAGTATAGAAGCCACATTTCTAACAAGTGGTCCGCCCCACCATGCCTAAAAATGGGTTAGTCTGCCCCGCCCCTCTTTTAAAAGTGGGCTGAGACGCGGGCGGGGCTGGCCAGCCCGTCGGATCGAGCCCGTTTTGCCACCTCTAGCCACCACAACTTCATTGGCTGGCCCCACCTACGCCACCACTATACCAACCACCATCAGCCAATCAACACCATCGTCGTCGACGCCATTGGCCATTGCCACCACCACCAACCAGCCATAATCGCAATTAGTAAACCACCACAATTGACATCAGTCATTACCGGCACCGTCACCACCACTCATCGTCACCAGCCCCCAAGACAGCCACCACTTTAATCGGCCACCCCTACCTACTACCCCCACTGCGCCAAACACAATCACTAGCCACTGGCCACCAATGTTGATAATCAATATAAAATAATTTTTAAAAATTTATTTGGTGAGGATGGTGGATGACCGATGGCCGGTGACTATTAGTGTAAATGAGTCAGATCAAGTCGGGCCTTAGCCTAAATGGGATAGGCTCGTGTAAATTATTTCGAGCTTAACTTGGCTTCTTAGCCTAATACAAGCAAATTATAAGCATGCCCTAGCTTATTTTTAAAAAATAGAAAGCTTAGTCTGGTTTATCAAGTCAACCAAGCCTTCAAAAATGACATATTGCACTCCGTAAAATATAAGTTATAATTATTTTATTTCTTTTACATGTTTAAGGGAATCATTGTCTCATTTTATATGAGATAACTGAAAGTCAAAATTGGCTGCACAAAGGTCCCACCTTGATGGGCCTACATGAGGGTAAAAACAAAAAAAATGGTCTTTTGGTTGCATGGATCTTCCCGTTAAACATATAGGGTTTAAAATTCATACCTTTTTCACTTGAAGTTGTCAAAATGGATGACTCCCTCTAACAGTAATCCACACGGCTACCTCTTGGTTGCTTCTGAGAAATGCTTTCTCCCTGAACCCTCCCTTTCCTTGGAAGCTCGCTAGGTTGCGGCAAGGTGGAGGCTTTCAAGTGTTTTTGTTTATTTTTCTCAAGACTGTAACATTGTCTTGAGGTTAGGTGAGAGGACCAATAATGGAGGAAGAGAGATGAAGAGAAAGAGGGGCGGCCAAAAATTAGGATTTTAGTCCAGAGAGGCGCTATATATCTTGATCTGAAGAAAAAGACGTTACTTTAACGTGGTTCAGCAAATCCCTTAATCAGCATTAAGAGATGGACGTTACATTAACGTTTCCTCATCAAATCCCTTAATCAACATTAAGAGATGGACGTTACATTAACGTTTCCTCATCAAATCCCCTAATCAGCATTAAGAGATGGACATTACATTAACGTTTCCTCATCAAATCCCTTAATCAGCATTAAGAGATGGACGTTATATTAACGTTTCCTCATCAAATCCCTTAATCAGCATTAAGAGATGGACGTTACATTAACGTTTCCTCATCAAATCCCTTAATCAGCATTAAGAGATGGACGTTACATTAACGTTTCCTCATCAAATCCCTTAATCAGCATTAAGAGACAGACGTTACATTAAATATAATTTTATTTAAATTCATAATTCAAATAAAATAGAAATAATAAATCTCTATCTAATCATATTAGATACAAATAAGGATAATTCAAAACTATCCTTAATTACCTAACCTCTTGAATTTAAATAAAATTAAATTCGATTTTATCCTAGCCCGCAATTTCAATTTGAATTCAAATTCGAAATTCAAAAATTCAAAATTCAAATTCAAATTTCGAATTGCGCCAAAAACTTATTTTGGCCAAGTCAACTATTTGACTTGCTAGGATTCATGGCCCAATACCGTATTGGGCCTACTAACACATTTGTGCTTATTAATAGAAAAATTAATTTTTCACTAATAGTCCAAAGGCGCATGATGATATTGGACTTG